AGTTGTGCTGAAATAATTAAAAAACATTTAGGAGTACCCAGGGTTTGCTAAACTCTATCTCTTGTGTCAAATAATACTGTCTGCTCAGTGAATACTTGAACAATAGACAGGATCCTAGAAGCCCTCTCTGTACTGGGGCAGCTGGCTTGCACAATCCTACGATGTTCCGAGTGAAGTCGGTGTCCTTGCTGACTCCAGACGATGCAGCTTCCCCTCCGATAGCAGCAGGGATCACACGACGCACTGGGCAGAGATTAACTGGTTCCTCAGCTGGCTGCAGCATTGGCCAGAGTTAATCACCTCTGTGGAAGAACATCACTTACTCTCTGGAGATCAGGACTCCAGGGTCACCGGGAACCATAGCCGATGAAATTGGGATAATACAAGAATTTTCCAAGAGTGTATTTGGAGTTAGGAGCGTGAATCTAAACCACCTTTTGATTTAAAGAAATATATCTGTAGTAAATGTTCTCTTAAATTAAAGGTCATGATAATAACTATCTCTTAAAGAGATATTAAAACCTTGTTTTTTCTGTTGTGTATTAAAACAGGGGTTGGTCTTTGGCTTTTTTGGGGGGTGGGGGATGTTGAAAAAAGGTATAAATAAGCGTATAAAACCCCCCTGTATATGACAGAATTGAAGTGCTGTCAGTACTCTGTTAGGAAATGTAGCATAAAAGCCAAAGTTTGGTAATTTACAGATTTCACCAAGTCTTAGTAGTTTTGAGTGACCGTGAAGGCTTAAAAACGCTGTTTGAATTCCTCGGGTGTAAGATCTGAAAATCTGATGCCAGTTTGTTCTTTTTTTTTTTCTTTCCCTCATAGGATTTTGCACAGAGTTCAGGCCAAACGGATAATCAGTTATCTCAGCAGAGGGGTACGTCTCCAATCAAATAGAAGAGGGTAGCAACTGGGTAACAAAATGTGTAGATATTATGTTCTACTGTGATGGAAAATTTCTCACTCTGCATCATGAAGACGCAGAGTAATTTACATAGAATAAGTTGCAACATGGTTTTACGGTTTGGGGAGAGGCTCCCTAACTTGCATTCTGATTTAAGCATACATGTCTTCCAGTCTGCTGCTCGTTGTATCAGGCATTCAGACTATCAATCTTTACTAAATGCTATGCCATATCATGTCTTAAAATGTGATACCGTACGTGCACATATTTAATTAGCAGGCACAAAGGCTACCTTCAGAAGTTTTAGGTTGCAGAAGCCACGCAGCCATTGCCAACACACCCAGAGGGCCAGAACTCACTAAAATACCACCCTGTAGTTGTTCTGTAAAGTTTGTCAGTTTGCAGAGGAGTTGTGATTTCTTTCCCCCCCCTCCCCACTTGTTGTAAATACTGTGTAAGACACAGTTAACCTCTTTTGGTTAAACATCTGAAAGCCTCCCAGCTAAGATGGCTATTGCTTGTTAAACATGTCTGAAATTCAAGGGCCTTGATGGGAATCTGGTCTTAAGTCACCCATATTTTGCATGAAGTGCATCACTCAAGTCATTTCCCCTTAATAGCGAGCAGAAGTCCGTCACCATTTTGGTGTACATTTGGCAGAAGATGAGCAGTTCTAGGTCTAAAGCATTAGCATTGTGCTTAAAAATAAATTACGAAACACAAAGTTAACTTTGTGGAGATTTTTACTGTCCTCTTAGTCTGAAGCAGCCTTGTGCAGTGTCAGCAGCACAAACTTTCCAGGATTGTGTTTGCATGAGAATCTGCTCAAAACAACATCTAAAATCCAAGTGGAAAACTTTTTATTTTCACTGTTCAAACTGGATGAGCTTTTAAACAAAGATGACTATGTGGTGACATGTGAGTGTGATTTCTAAATATTCCCCTGTTGCAAAAAAAGCTGGCTTACTGATACTATAAGCAGGATTGCTTTTATCCATTTTATCACTTGGAATGTGAGCGCTGGTGTCCCCCAGAAAAACAAATGGGAGCAGTAACACTGCTGGGAATAGAAAATGCAAATCTCGGTGCCACGAAGGGTCGAACCCTGCGAACCCCTGCACGCATTGCTAGTCCTGTTCACGTCGCCAGCAGTACTCATAGGAGTGAAAGCTGCCTGTGTAATTGTGTTGGGAGCTTTGGGGGAGTGAGGGAGCAAAACTCCTCCGCAGCCCTTTGTGGAGAGAGAAGCTGCTAGGCAGAGGGAGCACCGCTGAGAGTGTCCAAAGTTGAGTGAGGCTGAGCTGGTCCCCGGGGGGTCCAAGAATATGAAGTGCATAAAGATGTATATTATGTTGCCATGCGTAAAGCAGAGCCGTGTCCAAAAGCTTAAAGATCTCAGCCTTTGCTCATCAGAACCCCCATTTTTAAAGCTAAACCTCAATGTTCAGAGCTCTACAAAAGCTTCATCGCATGATCTGGGAAGATTTTGGTAAGGAGAGAGGAGTAAATGATCTAGAGTATCTGGAATTGTCTGTGAGCTCGTTATTCTTGGTTTCTTGCCATCTGATCTGAAAGAGGGAATAACTTGGTAATTTTTTGTTCTATCTTCAACAGAGAAATGTTTCACTTCTCAAGATTATCTTGAGCTGTCCAACAGATTCCCCCGGCAGTCCTGGGAAGAAGCTCGGCAGTTCTTCTTGAAGAAATAAGCGTTGTATTTGGTTTTACAGTCCCTAACGTCATCATGCTGCCCCGTTCCTGCTGACTCCCTTCTTTACAAGGCTATTCCAAAACGGTTTTGATACTCTGAATACTTATGCTGTAGATACATAATTTGCACTATTTATATCATAAGTACTGTAGATACTTTCGAGTTCTGTTTTGTAATTTTGATAATTTGAGTTTATTTTGTTCACGTCTGCGATGTGATGATTTGGGTAGCTTCTACCCTGTGATGTGGAGGTGCGTGCACTGCGGAACTGCTCAAGTAAGGTTGCCAATGGAAGAAAACACGTTCTCTATATCTTGTAATAAAGTAACTTATTGTGCCTGAGCTGTGCGTTCCGCGGTACAACTGTCGGTGTGTTCGGGCTGCCACCCGCGCGGCTCGCGGGGATGCTGGGATGTTCCCAGGGATCAGACGCCCGCAGCGTTCGTCAGAGCTGGCTCTGAGGAGAGCTCGCGTTTAAGTGCGGGGATGCGGGCGAGCCCCCCCTGCCCCCCACGCGTTTCTAACGTTTCTGTGCCACTGAACGCCGCCCGTTCTCGAGCCGCGCCGCTGCGCGCTTACACGGCGCGTGCCTCCGCCAGGAGCGTTTCCCGCGCGCGCGGCTCGGCTCTGAGGGGGCGCGAGACGCCCCGGGGGCCCTGCGCGGCGGGGACGCGGCTCCCTCAGGGCGGGCTCGCGCCGATCGCGGGGTGCCCACGGCCGCGGGGGCACGGGCTGGAACCGTCCCCGTTTTCGCGGCCCCCTCCCCGGCCCCAGCGGCCGGGCCAGGTCCGGCCCGATCCGCACCTGAGCCGGCGGCGGCAAACCCGAGTCGCTCGGCGAGGCCACCGCGCCTGCCTGAGGCGCGAGCTCGGGTCCCCCGGCCGCCTCCGCGGAGCCGGTTTTACGGCCTGGGCGGCCCCGCTCCCGGATGGCGGACACTGCTTGCTTCAGACCAGGCCCCGGAGAGCGCGGAGAACCGAAACCTGACCCGGCCGGACGCAGGTAACGTCGGGGGCCGAGCCGCGGGGTTGGAGGGGGGGGGGGGGGGTCGGGAGACCCTTTTCCCCACCTTCCTCGGGCCGGGGGCCGCACCCCGGCCGGCAGCAGAGGCGCCCCCGACTGCGGCGGCCTCTTCGCCGCTCCCGCTGGCACGTCCCCGGCAGCCGGGATGCTGCGTGACCCCCGACGGCAGCTGCGGGTCGGCTCGGCTGAGGGCCCGGCTCCCGCACACCCTCAGCCCCTCGGTGGTGGTGAAGCCGTCCCCTCCGCGGTGCCTTGCGGCCCGGGGTGCTCGGGGAGGGCCCAGCTCTCCCCCGCCGCCTCCCCGAGGCTGCGGGACCGATTGCCCTGTGATGGGGTCGTGGGGGCCGTTCGTCGTGGTTTAGGGCTGCACGGGCCTGCGGTCCCGCCGGGACCCGGCCTTGAGCGCATTCCCGCCGGGGTAACGGGGAGATAGCGGCAGCCGGGGCGGCCCCCTCCGCGCTCCCAGGTGATGCCAAAGGCAGATAAGGAGCCGCTGCCCGAGTCTAGACGGGGGGGATGAATACACGCGAGGGGACGGCTCGGCTCGGCTCGCCGCCGCCCCCGGGGAGGAGGCGAGGCTGCCCCGCACTGCGGCAGGTGCGGACACGACCCGGTAGAGCCCGGGGGCTGCTCCGAAAAAGAAACCTGCGCTCCGCCTCCCCAGCTATAAATAAGCGGCCCGGGGAGGGAAAGCCGATTAGAGCTGTGCGGTGAGGCCGTGCAGTCAAAGCCAGGGCTCCGCCCGTCCTGACTGCCACCCCGATCCGCACCCCGCTCTGCTCCGCGCCCCATCTTGCGACACGCTCCGTCCCGCGCCCCGCTCTGCTCCCCGACCTGGCCGGCAGCGCGGCTCAGCGCAAGGGGAGCGTCTTCACCGTTCTTCCACGCCTTTTTATTCGTTTCAGTCCTTTCCCTTTCTTTCTTTCTCTTTTTTTATTAAGTCCAAAATATTTAATCCCACTATTCAACCGCTGACTCTGACAATAAATAACAATAACTTACTTTTGTTCGTTAAAGGCTCAAACAATCCGTCCTCCGTCCATTGATAATTTAACATTAGTACTGGTTTCCCCGTTTAAAAGTCTCTTTTCCGTGTCCCGTCTTTCCAGCGAACGTGCGGGGCCGGGCGCCGGGGCCCGGGAGAGGCATCGGCGTGAGATGAGGCTGGACGGAGCGGCTCCGCGGAGGGGAGGGCCAGGCCGGCTCCGCGGTCGCGGGAAGGCGCGGGGGCCGGGGAAGTCTCTTCCCCGTTTTGTGTTTCTCTTTTTCCTTTTCCCTTTCAAAAACGGAAGAAAAGCCGTCCCCGGCGCAAGCGGCGGGCGGGCGAGGTAGCCTGTCACCATGCCGGGCTCCAGCGGGGAAATCCGCGTTTCTTTGGGGAAAAGAAACATCGAAATCCGCAGGGAAAAAAAACAAAACCAAAATAACAAAATAACGAAATAATGAGGGCAAGGGCTCTCTCTCCAGTCTGGTGAAGGCAGCGAGGATCCCGGTGCTTTTTTGGCCGTCAGTAACACATTTTTTGTTTGTTTTTAAATAAGAATAATTAAAAAACAAAGGCGTTTGTCCGGCGCTCTGGGAGCGGCCCGGGGCCGGGTGTCTCATGCAGGGAGCGCAGGCATGCGGAAGTCCCGCGGCGGCGGGCGGCCGGGCCGCCTCACGTCTCGGCCGGGCTGGGCACCATGCTGTTGGGGGTGTCGGGGAGCTGGGAGGACAGCGAGGTCACGTCGCTGCCGGAGGAGGTGCCCAAGGAGCCAGACTCTGAGAAGGAGACCTGGGGGAGCAGCGGTGGTGAGAGCGTGGCGCGGGCCCCACCGCGCCCCCTCCCCATCCCGCAGCTCCCCTGCCCGCCCCCCGCGGCCCGGCGCGGCGCGGTGCGGTGCGGTGCGGCTCACCAGCTGCTGGAAAGCGGCGGGTTGCTCCAGGTCGCTCTGCAGGGCAAACTCGCTGAGCGCCTTCCAGGGCGGTTGGTAGGTCTGGACCTCCACGGCGCTGCCCTGCACGGCGCTCTCGTGGCGGATGGGGCTGCCGGCCACCAGCGGTGTCCCGGTGAGGCCCTGCAGGCTCTGCGGGCACACGGGGCTTCAGCGCGGCTGCCGCCAGAGCCCGCGGCCCGGGGCAACCCTCCCAACATCCCTCCCCGGCGGGGCGGGCGGGCTCTCACCGTCTTGTCGCTGTGCTGCTGTTGCTGGAGCTGCTTCATGAGGATGGACTTCTTCTTGTCCTTGCAGCGCTTGTTCTGGAACCAGACTCGGATGACGCGGGGGCTGAGCCCTGTCATCTCCACTAGCTGCTCCTTCATCAGGGCGTCGGGGCGCGGGTTGGCGGCGTAGCAGGTCCGCAGCGTGTGCAGCTGCTTCTCGTTCAGCACCGTTCGCACGCGGGTGGTCTTCTCCGTTGCCTTGTGCGCCGGCGGCCGCGGGACAGGCGGCCGCCCGGGCACCGGCTCTGCGGCGGTCAGGGAGGTAACACACCGTCAGCATGGCCGCCCGCCCGCCGCAGCCCTCCCGTCCCCTGTCGTCCTGTCCCTCCCTCTCGCCGGTACCTGCGAGGTGTGCGGCGGCGGCGGTCGGCGGCAGCGCGGGACTGCGCGGCCCGCGGCCGGCGGCGCCGTCGGGGGGCGGCCCGTGGTCGGCGCGGCAGAGCAGGTCGCGCTCCCGCAGGCAGAACTGGTCGCCGGGCAGGAGCTGTCGGCCGCAGGCTGCGCAGCGGAAGCACTCCAGGTGGTAGACGTGGTCGCGGGCGCGCATCACCAGGTCGCTGCTGCTGAAGGCCGCCCGGCACTGGGCACACTTGATGCCGAAGAGCCTGCGGGGACGCGAGGCACTGTCAGGGACCCCGGCCGCGCCGTCGGGCGTCTCCGGGAGGCGCCGCGGGGACGGGCAGCGGCCGACAATCAGGTTTCCGTTTGGGGGAAATTCAGGGTCTTAAGGGGCTTTTGTGCTTTTTCAAGTTTGCGTTCGATTTTTATATATATACATATATACATATATATATATATATACACACATAACGAGTGTCGGCACATTCGGGGTCACCTGCTGTAATCCCGCTTGCAGTAGGCCTTGCCGTCACGCAGGAAGCATGTGCAGGTCTCGTCCAGGGGCTGCCCGCACTCGGCACACTTGAGGCAGGCGACGTGCCACTCCAGGTCCGGCGACACCCGCAGCAGGAAGGGGTCCTGGATGCGGCCCCCGCAGCCCGCGCACAGGGCCAGCCCCGGCCGCCCTGCCGGGAGCGAGCGGGGCACAGTCAGGGGCAGCAATGAGTGAAAGCAGAAGTGCCAGGAATTAGGGAAAGACACTTTTTTGTTTGTTTTATTTTTGAGTTTTCTTTCTTTTTTCTTTTTCTTTTTTTTTTCCAAATACGGAGACAAAAAGACAGAAACATGGAGAGAAAGAAAGGACAGAGGAAACGAAAGAGAAAAAAATAGAGCTGGAAAAGAAGAAGAAACTTGATCGATAGAAATAAATGCAGAAAGAGACATAAAGGTAGAATTTCGGAAAAGGAAATAAAAGCAGAGTCATTAAAACAAAAGCTGAGGAAAAACTGGAAGAAATAAAGAAGAAGAAATAAAGAAAAAGAAATGAAAACAGAATGATGGAAAGAGAAATAAAACCAGCCAAAAATCCAGAAAGAGACAGTTAAAATGGGAACACGGACAAATGAAAACAGTAAGAGACAAGAAATCAAAGGAAGATAAATAAACCTGGAAACAAAACAAATACAGAAGAATCGAAAGAACAAGAAATAAATAAAAACGAAAAGAGAAATTTAAAAACGAAAAAAAAAACAACCCGAAACACGGAAAGAGAAATAACGCAGGCCGGGAAACAGGGAAGGAAAGAAAGAAAAAGCGGAGCGAAGGAGAGAAAGACACTGGAGGGAGCAGCAGTAAGACCCGAGATCAGTAGCGCAGACAGCCGAAGGGACAGGCATTCGGTAAGAAGCGGAGCCAGCGTGGCCGGCGCGCGAGGGGCACAAACGGGAACAGAAGCACCGGAGATGCCACGGGCCAAGCCGGCAGCCGCCCTCTCCCAACACGGTGCCGCAGCCCTTCCCGGCGCTGTCACGGCGCCCGCGGGTCCGGGGCGGCACGACGGCCGCAGGTCTGCCCGACGGCAGCGGCGGCGCGGCAGTCAGTCCCGCAGCGCTCCGCGGCCGCTCAGCCGCGCCCGCCCGCCCCAGAACCGCGTTGCCTCGCGCGGCGCACACTTACTTTTGGAGGGCTCTCCCATGGCGCCCGGGAGCGGCCGCGGGAGGAGGATGTCCACCATGCGGGCGGCCCCCTGCGCACCGGCAGCGATGCGGGATGCGGCGCCGCCGCTCCACCACTACCCGCGCCTCGCGGGGCGGGGGCCGCGCCCGCCCCCCCGGGCCCGCCCCGCCGGGCCGCGCCGTGATGTCAGCGCGCACCGGCCGCGGGGAGGGGGGGGGGGGGGGGGGGGGGGCGGCGCTGACCTCACCGCGCGGCCCCCAGAGGCGATTGGCGGCCGCGGGTAGGGCGCCCGCGGATTGGCCGTGGTGAACAATGGGCGCGCGGTGGCGCGCGGAGCGGTGCGGAGCGGCGCGGACTCCCCACGCCGCCCCGCGGGATCCCGGCCTGGCGCGGCCCGACGCCGGCTCGGACGGGGCGGGTAGCTCTGCGCGCCGCGGAAGGAGCTCCTCCACGGGAGCGGTGGGTGCGCTCCTCAGCGCCCTGCGTCCCGGGCAGCCGCGGCACCAACCCGGCCGCCGGCGGGATCCCCAGCCACCCGGCGTTGCACCCAGCGCCGTGCGCACCGGTCCTGCGCGCGGAGGGACGGCGGTGCCGGCAGCCCGAGCCGGTGGAGATTCATTTCAGCTTTCCCTCTTCCCGTCTTCCCCGTTCTTTTCCTTGACTTTTAATTAGCCTTTTATGTTCTCCTTCTTTTATTTCCCTTGTTCTGTTCTTTGCCCTCTCTTTCACCTTCTATTTCGTTGTCCCTCACCCCCGCTTTTCAACGTGCCGCAAGCAGGTGCCCGCGGCCGGGCACTGCGGGACAGTGCCCCGCTTTTCATGGAGGCTCACCCCCACGGCAGACGGGACGGGAGCTCTGTGGCGACCGCCAGCTCAAAGCTGCGCGCCCGCGGAGCAATTCACTGCTGGAGGGGGGGTGCGCGGGAGGGCCGCTCCGACGGACGCGAACGGGACCGCCGGCATTGTCGGGCGGCTGTCCCGGGCAACAGCTCCGTGATGAGTTGAAGTTACGGGGAAAAATAGTATTTTACCGCATTTTCGCGCACCTGATCCCATGTTTCTTCTACAGCTGAACCTTTCCCATTGTTTTTTTAACCTTTCTATTCATTTTTCCTCCCTCTTTACCACCAGTCTCTATGGGCTTCCTGTGCATTAGCAGAAAAATAGGGAGACCACTTAAGTGGCCTTTGGCTCGGTTTTAAATTCCCAAAGACTTCACAGCGTAGCAGCACGAGTAGCTCAAAAGGTCCAGGAAAGCTTGTAAGTGCTGGAATTGAGACTGCTGCTGTCCTGGGGCTTTGGTCCTGCCCCTCCTCTCCACACAATTTATCTTTTGTATTTTACTCACAGAATTTGATAGGCATAGGCCAACCTGTATGGCTTGGGAAGGACATGATGACTTTAAATTTTGGTTCAGAAAGGTCAGACTGTGCTCATTTTGCTTGGAGAAGGGAGGCAGAATGAGTTTTCCAGCTGAAGCACTTATTTTTTGTACAAGTCAAGCTCCCTGTAGGTATGAAACCCCAGAAGCTGAGGAGGGGGAGAGGACAATTTGGGTAACTGGCTATTTGACTATTTGATCCACTCTCCTCTGCCTGACCACAGCCCCTGCTACACCTTTGAGAACCCCAATTATTGAAAGCGAACATTAAAGTTTGCACAAGAGCCAAGGGGGTAAGCAGGAGGGCATTTGGGGTACCCACTTCAGCAGGGGTGTTTGTCACCAGGGGATTTTGGCATCTCTGCCTGCCTCTGCATGTGTGAAGGTGCGGCATGTGTGGCAATGACATCCTCAGGGCAGGGTGAGTCCACGTGTCCCCCGCCTGTGTGGCAGTGGCAGGGTGGCCATAGCGCCTGTTGGGGTTTGTGGTGTGACTGCTGCCTGCTGTTACTGTGGCTCATTTGCCAGCAGCAGAGCTGAGCTGGGAGGTGAGTGATGCAAAGGGAATTGGAAAAGTTTGGCTGGCTCTTCAGACTGGGGTGACCCCATGGGACGGGTGATGGGAACCTCCACAGCACTGCTGTGGCTGTGGGCACAGGGCATCCTGCCCATTGCTGGGTGCCTGGCAGGGAAGAGGGTGACTTCAGCCTGAGCTGGAATCCACGGAGTCCTGAGTGAGTCAGTATCTGCATGTGTTAACAATAAAATACAAAATAAAATGTCAGAGTGATAGGAGAATAAGACACGTCTAAGAAAATAGCAGCTTGGCAGGGATGCTCAATGTTGCATCATCCTTTTCTCACTTGAGGGCAGGGTCCTCTATGCTATCCCGAACCTCCCACCAGTTTAGGAATAAGAAAGGTTACAGCCAAGCCAGCTAAACTTCTCCAAACCGGCACAAAGCTGTGCTGCAGGCACTCACCTGCGGGAGTACAGAGCAGACACCCGGCAGGAATGGTGGAGCTGGACTCGGTTTGTGACCGGGCAGGTAGGAACAGGGTGGGCAGCACTGCACAGGCACTTTAGTAGAAAACTGCAAAAAAAGACTAGCCAGGGAAATGCCGAAAGCCCTGAACCTCTGTGTGATGCAGGAAAAACTTGAAAATGGCTACACATAACAGCAACAGGCATAAACCCAGCCCAGGACCACCACCATTTACAAACAGGTTAATTGTTGGTACCTTTGAAGGGGAGGAAGGGAAAGCACATCATAAAACTTTAGAACAAGTCAGCTCAGGAGGGAGCTCTGGAAAACTGCTTTCAGGTCACTTGGAACTGCTGGAGGTATTTGCTGGTCAAAACCAAACAGAATCTCCTGCCACGCTAATTCCTCCTGCTGTCCTCCACCCAGTGTCCAGTTCTCAATCCCTTTCAGAGCAATTCAGGTTGGGTTGGTGCGAGAGCTGGCAGGGGCTGCCTGGCTTCGGGGGGAGGGCAGCTAACAGCACTCCCCGCTCTCTGCAGAGCAGCTCTATGGGGTTTCCTCCCAAATAGAAATACAAGTTCCCTCTAGAAAGGGGAAAGGGTAACAATTTTTTTTATTTGCAGCAGATTGCAAAGGCAGTAAATGCTGATTCTTTCAGAGCCAGCCACGGATTAAGTCCATTATAAAATTAAAACAGATGGAATGCAATTTCACTTACATTACAAAAAAGGACAGGAACCATCTGCAATAAGATTTAGCATTGCAAAGCTATTGTTATCATGTTACCATTAAAACCTTTGATGAAGGGTTTTCTTTTCTTTCATAAACTTGTTCATATGAAACAAATGTTTTATTTATCCATCTTCCTAAGATAACCATATTTAATTTACAAAGATGACATCTCTCAAAAAAACAGACAGCTCTTGGTTCTAACATAACATGTAAAAACAAAGAAATGGTGTAAAACTCCCAATGTCAAACCACTGGGACTTGCATAAGGAGGATGTAGCAAAAGGAGAATTCCCTATCCATTTTTCCTCTAAAAACCATTTCCTTGTGTTTGGGGACAATGTTTGATACTGAAAATAGATAATTAATGAGATAATGGGATAGTGCATGTCACCTCCTGTCCAATGGGATTATCTGATGGCTAATTATGGACAGATTGTGATTAATGTGATTATGGATTGGATATTAATCTGATTCTGGCTTGATCTAGTTATGTTTTAGTCTGCTCCAAATGGTTAATTGGATCTGAGATAATAGAAATGCAGCTTGCACCAGATTTTGCCACATCAGTTGATGAAGTATCTTTTGATCTGGGTGGGTTGCAAACAATAAATTATTTACAGCTGTTGAGAAAATGACTCTTCCTTAGAATGTAGTCATTCATTTTATTTTTGAGAGCCTTTGAAAACAAAATCAATATCCTTTCTAAAAGGAGATGTTGACAAAAGAAAGGCACGTACATAACTCACAAACAAATGTGACGAAATTAAACAGTGGTTAACCCGGTGGCCTAATGTCTGGTGATGCATTTGAATTGCTATGTGGAGCTTTGGGCTCAATTCTTCTGAGACCAGCAGGGGTTGGGAGCATTGCAGGGGAAGAGGGCCCAGCTCTGGGGAAAGTGGTATTGCACAAGAGCTACCGCCAGCCCTGCTATTGATTAAGAATCAGCCATGGTAAAATGGCAAAGGGAACCCTTGCCATTTTTCCCCCTCCGGATAAGGATTCAGACAGTTCATAGGCGCAGAAAGGACTCATTGGCCCATCTCATATGGCCTCCTTCATACCAGACCATGCAATTGGACCCATTATTATAATTTTTCCCCCTCACAGTGAGCCTGTTAATTTATGGTTGACCTCAGTCATGTCTCCCAGAGATGCATCTGGTCTTGATGTAGCCTGGCAGTGTGGAGAGGCTGCCCCACTCCCCATGAAGCCATCCTTCTTGTGAACTTTCACTGAAATGGCAAATCAAGTGTGTATTTTAGATTCCACCCCAGCCACTGCATCTCCTTATGTCATTTTGTGAAGGGTTAAAGGCAATGGCTAAGTTGTAGCATCTTAAACTTCATGACAGGGCAAAATGTGCATCAGCCTTTGTCACCAAGAGGCATAAGCTGCAGGTAACTTCACCAGAAGGTGCTCCTCTCCCAATAGGCTTTGCAATGAAGATAACAAAAATCAAGCAGATCTCAAAACACTGAAAACAGAGGCATATTACAGCTGCAGGACTTCCACTGAAGTGTTATTCAGTGAGCTTAAACTGAAGAAAAAAGGAAAAAGGAGCTTTCCCTGAAGTGCTTGCAGGCGTGGAAAGGGCCATTCCCCTGGGGTGATTTCAGGCACTACTGTCCCTGTCTCTGCTGCTTGGCACTGCTTGAGTGGGAATACAGCGGCCTCTGGATTCCTCTCCAGTAGTGTGACGAGCAGAAAAAGCAGCTACCTGTTTAAAAAATAATGCTGCTATAACTTGGCAAAGAATTTTACACGTATCTCCCATTAGTGACGAGGCACGCTGCGTGCTGCAGGAGGGCCGCAGGTCACAAAACGCTCATTGCAGGTGCCTGCACTGGGAGAAAAGCATAACTCTCTCTCCTTGCCAGCATTGCTTCCCTCATCATCCACACAAACCACTGCTATTCCTGGACAGGACAAGCTGCCTTCCAAGGCAACCTGAGCCTTTGCTTCCAGGAGGTATGAGCATCCCTTTTCACCCATGACCTCAGCAGGAAAAGCCTTTAACTCCCCTGGTGATCTTGTTCTCT